TTCTGGCCATGGTCTGAGAAAAAAAGTTGATCCCCTAGTTGGTTTGAATATGTTGGCATAGGTATTGGCTGGTGGTTTGGAGATTTTCCTTAGCCGAAAAATCTCTCAAGACACCCACTACTGCCGGCAGTTGGATGCAACTCGTGGGCCGCTATGTGGCTGTCCATTGAGTTCAAAAATGTTTCCCCTGTCGTCCTAAGCACGACGGTATGCTCAGATTTGGATTTGGTTATCATTTGACAGTGAAACGAAGATTGTACCTATTATGCGATATCCGGGTTTAATAGGTTCGAACCGTTCCGCCGGTTCAATTTCAAATATGTTGTTCTCTGTATCTCTAGAGTCATGTAGGAACTTGTTGATCAAAAATAGGAGTCCAGGATACTCCGAGTGAATGATTCTAAGTTTAGGCGAAACGATCGCCGTATGATCATACGATTGGCTTAGATCTGACCGCTCGATCGAAATCAAACTTGTCGAGACTTTTAGTAAATTTGTTGGACCTATAGGAACTTTCGGATCAGAAATTAGAAGTTGTGGGCCCTGTGGCCTAATTGACCTAGATGGTGGTCATCACAGGTTCGACCAGGACCAATTGGTTGGGAGGTGCTTGTGGCTTGGTTGTTTGATTTTAAGTTGGTATTTTGCTCTGAGAGTTTTATTAAATATTTGTGAATTATTGTTCTATTGCTTTTACCTACCAAGCATGATATATGTGTGTTTATTTTTATATATGTGTTAAATGGATTAATAATTGGATTGGTTGCCTTCGGAAATATTGATGTCTTCGAACATACAATTGCCTTCAGAATGTGTTTGGACATATGGTTGCCTTCGGATTATTTTGCGTTCTTGGGTTGAGTATATCTCCCTTAGTCCTGTGAGGGGAATTGACGGATTTGTCTACGCCCGTATGACATTGCCCCACGAGTATCGGGGATGCCTAAACCCTGTGGTGCGATGATTTGCATTCTTAGGTTGAGTGTATTTCATCGGGTTCTGCAAGGAATGCATCTTAAGTTGAACATGGGTCCCCTAAGTATTGCAAGGAACGTGTCTTGGGCTGACCTCGTGTCCCCCGAGTTTTGCGAGGATGTATCACACATGTGGCCACATGTGTGGTACTTGGAATTGACGATATATTATTGGAATTGATGGATTATGTTTGAGGAACATCTATGTGGAGATTAGTGCAGTACAGACATGTGGTATAGTTAACAATATATTATTCACCACCCTGCTCATATTATCTGCATAAGGTTGGCTAGGATCCCTAGCCACCTGTCCAACTTGCCTACACAGGTGGTTAGCTAGTTTCCCTTTCCCCTGTTGCCTTCGGAGTTGATGGTGCTCCCATATACCCATTGGTGGGTGAGTATAGGATGTATGTACTATGTGGATGATTGCAAGTATGGCTTTCAGGTAAAAGGTTTGGTTATGCAAGTATTTGGATGTATAATGATAAACTAATTAAACAGTTAGGTACATGATTTAATGGCATGATATTCAATTATATAGCTTGTGGAGATCAAGATAAAGAATGATTCCAAAATTTCATCGTTGGTTTCATTTTGAATATTTATGTACTATCTTAATTGTGATTCAGGGTAGAAAGAATTACGTGTAGCTTGATCCCTCAGTAAGGGTACGTAGGCAACCTAGGCTAACCTAGGTGTAGCCGCAAGTTTTTGATTGGTTTGTTATGTTCAATTTAGTAAAGTTGATTTTGCTGAACTCTTGGGAAATTATTTGAGTTTGCTATGCAAGTGGATTTCTGGGTTTTGAAATTTTTTCAGGGAGAGTCTATTGGTTTTCTGATAGAAGTCAAACCCTAAAACAATTTTTGAATTAGGGCAAGAAGGGTAGTTTGGTCATTCATGCTCGACACCTGTCAGGTGTTGGACATGCATGGGGTTGGACACGGATTCCAAAGTGGAATTTGGGTCGATTGCTGTTAGAGGCAGTGTCAGATCCATGAATTTTTCAGAGAGGCAATAATGATTTTGGTACTGACCAAGGACTGAGTGAAAAATATATTATGAAATGAACTAGACCTTCAGATAATTTTAGGGTTGATTAGCACTATAAAATAAAGACAAAAAAATAAAAATATATTATCATAGTAAAAAGATTAGATCAACAAACAAGTTGTGTCAATCAAGTCCTAATTAAACAAAAACTCTAATATTCAAATTGTGATGTGAGAGCATCGTGCGAGGATTCTTCTTCTTTGTCTTTTTTTTTTTTTTTTGGACAGAAGGTTTCTTCAAATTGGGAGCATTGAGCCATAAGCCTTTTGGTATTACATTATTGTAATGAAATATTTATTATAACAACCAAGTAATTGAAGCAAAATAATGAATCTTGAAACTATTGCTATCTAGGTTGCACCAAAACTAAAGAGTTTGATTTTTAAAAAACTTCATTGAAACACGCGTTTCATTAAACATAAATGAGAGCGACGTCATTTATGAAAAATAAAAATAGGTTGTTTTCTTCATTCGTGAACTAGAGCCTCCATAAGCAACATGCCTCTGTAACTCCTCTGCAACATAGCGCGTGCCTCAATCATGTAACTTGCCAAACGAATGGTGCCTTGATGCAATTTCAGGAGGCCTCAGATCGACGCACTCCATGAGGTGCGCCTTGATAGCACCTTTTAAAACGCTAGAGAGAAAAGGGGCAAATCTAGCACCTCCATGGCTCTTTCTGGTGACGAGAGCACCTCCTCGCACCTCTGTAGGTCCGCCGTGTGTGGTGGCCAGAGCCTTGTGTGTGAGAGAGAGAGGGTGGCGACAACAAGGTTTGTGAGAGGGAATTTTTGGAGAGTTTCAGACGTACCTCATGTCTTGTGCGTGGCCATGTATTTATAGGAGCCTTGGTGGCTAGGGTTTCGGAAGAATAATTCCTCACATGAAAAGGAATTATTTTTCCCTAGCTTGGAGAGATTGAATCAAATTAGGGATTTAATTTAGAATCAAATCCCCAATTATGGCAGGAATCCTTAATTCAATCAAATAATCCCCAAATAGATGGAATTAATTATTTAACCTAGGTTTGTAAATATTTGCTCCCACAGGCGCCCCAATAAGATCTCACACTGAAAAATTGTAAGAGCCAACGATTTGTTATAACCTGCTCGAGCAACTATAGGAGATGTTGTAGATGTCAAAATGTGTTGATTACTTCGGGGCTCTTGGGCTCGCATGACTAATTAATATATTTCTATTAGTTAATTATTGTTAACTTTCATAAAGGATTATTTTTTAAAAATCACATATAGGTCTTGAGGCTCGTGAAATTATCATATTTCGATCTTAAAGGTTAATCATTAAGCAATTCAGCAACTATCATATAAACTAGAGAAATTATCATCAAACCCTACTTTGGGTTTTATACTGGTTTTATTTTTATATTTTTACAAAGCGATTTTCTAAACTACTTTAGGGTTCGTTTGGGAGTGATTCTGAGAGGTCCAAAATCACTTCCTATTTAGTATAATCGCTTTTGCTTAAAAAATATGGTGTTTGGCAAAAATTTAAAAGCGCTTAAAATATGTATTAAAATCACTTAAAGTGATTTTAGGGAGAAGCACATGGGAGGTGCTTCTCCCAGGAAGTGGTTTTTTTAAAAAAACCGGGAATCACTTGATTCCAATTAATGAAACTTTTTTAATACCAATACTATCCCTATTATTTTTACAATATGGCCAAAAAGCCTAACCCTACAATTTTTAAGCAATCCACACGTTTCATCCACCCTAGTTATCACGTCTTTGTCTCTGCCTCTATTCTTTCTCTGCAAAGGCTTCCCCCCTCTCTCGCTCAAACTCTGCAAGGCTATCATTCTTCAAGGTAAATCCTCTCTGTTCTCACTATATATGTTTATGCACTTCTATATTTATCTTGATATTTTTTATTTTAACTTTTCTCTTTTATCAGATAGTACTATGAAATTCTCATGCTTCTTGATTCACATATTATATCACTAATAGTTATTAGTAAAAATATTATCAGAATCAGAAATTGAATTTATGTGTGAGAGAGTGAGAGAGAGAGAGAGAGAGAGATGGGTAAAAGCTTGCGTATATGTCGATGCTATTATAAACACTTTCTTTTGCAATAACAGAAGGATATAGAAAGAGCTGTTTCCTATTGCAATTTGTTTAATTTGCAATCTGTTTCCTATTTGCAATCTGTTTGGAGCTCCCTTCCCCACATCATCAGACATAAGAATATGAAGATGAACGTGTAAGGCAATCTTCATTCCACATTGATGTCAATGCCATGTGGCTGTCTTTTAGAAATTAAGAGAGGGAGAGAGACACGTATAGACACATACCAGAACTATTGGTTTATGTATTAATGCTTAGTTTCAATTTGTTGTTCTGTCTGAGAACTTTTGGTTTATGTATTAATGCAAACGTGCTACTGTTTGTTTTTGGAGTTTGGGGCAACCAGTCGAGTTGCTCCGAGAGTCTCATCTTCGCCGACTCATCTGTCTTGAGTGTTGGGTGACAGAACGGCATGCACATCAAAAGTCAAATTTTGACCCTAGCTACTATTCCATCCCATATATATATTTTTCTTTTTAAAGAGATGAGATGTTCTACAACTGGCAAAAGCTCTCGTATCTCTACATATGAGAGAGGTCCTTAGATCACCTACTCTTCAACATTTGAAATTTGAGAGAGAGCTTGAGGAAAACCCAGGCTAAGGGTACTAAGATGTCCACATTGAAACTACCGCTAGAAACAGGCAATTTGGTGTAGAGGACAGCACTAACCCGAACATAACCCTACAAATATGTATGGTAGGCAGCTAGGTGGCTGGCTGAGAGAAAAAAAAACTCAGGAAAAAATAATAATAATAAAGCTGTGAAAATGCCAAACAAACCCCAACATATGAAGCAATAAGCATCCAAAGAATTGAAGCTGCAGGCACAGCTATATTGGTTATGAAGGGGACGGGGGGGCAGCATACAGTTTACAAAGAGATGCGCAATAACCTACACATTTCTTTTTCTATATGGAGGCTCATCAATATGATTAAATTATGAAGTCTTACAACCCAAAAGTTGGGAAAAATTGGGGAAAACTGTACATACTAGATTTCTTTAACCTACAGAGATTATTACCGTGTTGTATGCTCCAATCTTATTGTCCACAATTCGACAGTAATTTGCACACAAAAATGAAGAGATCTGCTTCTCCTTCAGGCTACTTGTCATGTAGGAGCAAAGTAACACAGCTCGCTCCAAGATAAATAAATTTCTCTGGATAGGAAAACCCGCTCCAGCTTGCCTCTATTGCGACTTATAAGATATACTACAAATGGTAAGTCACCAAAATAAAAGCATCTTACACTGTACAAATGGTTAGCTGCAGATGCCAACACCGTCAACCCATTGCTTTATTGAACGAAGTTACCCTCACAATAAATAAGCTGTAATTCCACCATGGCGAACTCATTGTTTTATTGAACGAAGCTCCCAGTTACCCTCGCCATCAATGAGCCGTAATTCCAGAGCATGGAATGGAATTAGAGCAGGACGCTGAGAACATGCGAAAGAAAAAAAATTATGAAACTCAGAAGTAACTATGGTATAAAATTTTGAGGGAAATAACTAACATGAGGGAGCTAATCACAAGAATATCCAACAGAGAGGCATTAAATCCATTGGTCTTTGCATTCCAACGATAAAACTAAATAAAAAAAAATCACACAAGGCAACCTGATCTGAACCAGATAAAAGTCCTATAAAGTTATCTCATGTACGCCAAAATGCAGAATGATATACACCTCCATATAGTTATAGTAGTACTTACTTGTGAGGAGGTAACAACTGTGATACCCATGTCTTTTGCGAGCCGATAAAGTTGTTCTTCAACATCAACGCTCGTAGCACTGCCATTTATTCAAAAAAATAAACAAGGAAAAGGGAAAAAGAATAAATAAAAAAAAGAGAAGAAGACATATATGTAGAACAAATATTAGATAACAGACATTTCTTTAGAGTGTAAAACGAAAAGACAAAAATGAATGCGGAGCTGTCACATACTTGGTGCATTCATCAAGGATGGCAAATTTAGGCTTGTGAAAAAATAGGCGTGCCTTGTAAAACACAAAGTATCAAGTCAGACAGCAAGCAAATCCTTGAAAGAGAATAAGAAAGTTCATGCTCAAGCAAGATTTGAAACTATCATATTTGCTTACCATGCCTAATCTCTGCTGTTCTCCAAGGGAGAGAGTGTCCTCCCAATTCAGATTAGCATCCCAACCACCTTCTTCCCTTTCCAAAAGATAACTCAATCGGACATTCTCCAGAATAGTTCTCAACCGCATGTCTAGAATATTGGTGTGCTCAGAAGATTTTTCACCTGAATTGGAACAGTTACAATTTTCAAAACCCGATTGTGGAAAAGAGAAATTTTTTTTTTTTCTAGGTTGTTAGAGCACAATTTAAAAGGACAAGGTGTCTATTATACATGCTAACAAGGTATGTAGACTCATTTCCCCAAACTTCGTTTCCCTTTCTAATTATATTTCATGAGATTAAATCAACATCTTTATAGTTGGATACTACTGTACAGATTAGCATTTGAATACTGTCTGGATGTCAAAAGTGCTTTGTTGCTGCTACAATATTCCATAGGATTTGGATCACTAAACCTGCATATTACAGTTGCACGTCCTATTAAATAAAGGCAAGATATGGCTTTTCTGGCTATGCTTGGTGCACTCTGCGTGGTGGCCTCTAGGAGGCAAAGATCAATTATTTCACAGCTGGGATCTGTCTAAGGATCTAGATAGTTCATTGAATATTTTGGTGATTAACAACCAGCGGACAGAAAGAAGAAATAGGTTTTGGCATCTGTACTTTACATGAAAGCTAGATTAAACACAAATCGAGAATTCAGAAGAACTGGTGTTATGACAGGAAATAAAAGAGCTTCATAGGGGAATGAAGGAACCCAGTTAGTCCACTCATTAGTTAATTTTCAAGGTCCTTTAGATTTATACTCGTTTTCCAGCCTATAAATTTGTGCCCTAATTCTGTACTGAAGCCAATTCTATATTTGGACTTCCTACTTTCATTTGCCAATGTGTAGAACCCCAAAACCCTAATTATTCATTTTTTGAAGGGATCGACCATTTTCTTTCACTACATAGCTCCACTCTTGCTCTTGTCATTCTCTTCCTTCCACCTGGAGTCTTACCTCTCTTGTCTCTATTAATTACAGATAGTTTCTTAATCATATCCTTTCTAAAATTGATTTCACTTAAATTTAACATTTCAAAACCTCATTTGATTCCTAGTTTCCTGAAATATGGGTTTTCTAATAACTACTAAGGATTGTTCATATGCTTATTACCACTTTTATCCTTCTAAAAATTCATTATACAATTATAATCTTTTTTAATAAAAAATATGAAATTGTATCTCTAGAACTCAGCATATGAAGTTTTTATTAAACATTGCAGAAAAGCATAACTTTTACTAATTTGAAAATAGCTCATTCTTTTCAACCTTGCACCTACTCCATTTTATTTATAATAGAGAAATTTGAGTGCTAGTGATAATTTTAATTCATTAAAATATCCATTCCCTTTAAAAAAAAAAAAAAAAAAAAAA